TTTGCTTTGATATTTTGCTGTGACTTCTTTCCTTGAAATTTTTATAATGGTTCTTGTTCTTTTTTTTTTTTTTTTTTTGGAGAACATGACTGGCTTCATAAAGATCATTGGACACTTTGAAGACCTTAACATCTCTGACTTGAAAAAAAAAAAAAAGACCCCAAGCCAACCAAGCTGCTCATTAATGTGTGTTTAAATTATAATTTTCCAGCGTGAGTCTAAATTATTGTAGTTGCCTTTAATTCTTTTAACGTCCAATCTGCAAGGATAAACTTAAAAATGAGCATAAATGTTCTGTTCATTTTTTGAACTTACGAAAACAAAAGGATAACAAACATTTTAGAACTTTACACGTGAAGGCTATCAGTTAATTCCCATTCTGATGGGAGACTAGCAGTGAGCTTTACCCCTCAGTCCATTGTGATAAGTGTCAAATACACCTTTTTTCATTTTGAATTTTCTGCTAAGAATCTCTTGGCAATGAGAAAATAAGTATTTTCTGTGTGGAAGATTTGTTGGCACCTGACAAACCCTGCATTGTGTATTTTTTTTTGAGGTGTGTAAATAAGGTTTTTTTATCTTATTCCTGTACAGACTTGTAGGTTGGATAATAGGCAGGTACTCAGCTGTAACAGTCACTTTTATTTTTACTACACAGTGCTCTGTTACCTAACACAGGATTAGTTCTTGTCATTGTATCTGTTGCTTTGGTGTTTTACTAACTTTCCAAGAAAATTTTAATGACTGTTTGTTTTCACATTAACTCTCACAGATTGAAAGGATGCCTCTTCAGAAATGAGCTTATTCTTATACAGAAAAGGCTATCTCAAGTATTTTTTTTTTTCCCTCCTTTTGAAACATACTAAGCATTTCACACTTCTTTTTGGATCCGTATGCTTCTTTAGTGTTCCCTATATCTTCTGGATTTGAAGAGCATATACCAAGAAGGAGACAGTAAGGGCAGCTGGACTATACCAGCTAAGCAGTTTAATGAGTTAGTTAACAGCAGTGATAATGTGACTTAATCTTTTAGATTTTTTTTTTTTTCTGAGAATCCAGATTTTTTAGTGGTGGACTATTAAAATAAACTTAATTGTATATTGTGAGAGGTGATTGATTATAAAAAAACAAACCAAACCTGACTGACATTAAAAAAAACCCCACACATAGTAGTTGCTTTATTTGGTGAGAAATGTGGTGGTAAAGTTATCCCTCCATTGCAGGACAGTGAAAAGGGGATGAAGTGCCTGCTTCACAAGGAGGTAAATGCTATTCCTAGCTGTCATCTGTGGCTGCTCTGGAGTGTACACCTGCTTAGATAAGGTAGCTGGCATAGACAATTTTTTATCTCTATACACACACACACAGAAGATACAGATATCCATATAAATCTATCACAGTGGAGGATCAGTAGATCAGACAGATCACACAGGTGAGAAGGAGCTTGGACTCCTGGAGGTCACCCAGTCTGAGAACATCCTACTCAAAATGGGATTGCTGCAAACAAGTGATGAGATTAATGGTGGCTTTGTCTGCCCAGGTCCTGGGAAGGGTCACCCCACAGTTCTGTCTCATCTGCTTTGCTACCTCTCCAGAACTCTTGTCTCTTCTCTGACTTCTGTGTCCAGAAGAAGTAGCTACCTGCTCTATCATACTCTTTCTTTTAATAAAATTCAGTCTTTAATTGCTTCTTCCTCTGGAAGTTCTCTTTGCTGAAGGTGTCTTTCACAGCTCTTGTGTGGTGCCAAATTTGTTGCCTCTAAAGAGGAATCTTTCAACTAGAGTAACAAACTACCTTCAGGACAGGATACAGGTGCTTGGTTCTGAACCTGTGCAGCACCCACTCTGTCAGCAGAGTCCCTGAAGATGCTGTGAGGCAGCACTGAAGGCTGGTGAGGGCTTGAGGTGAAAGGATTGAGTGTTAAAACATTGTGTAGACAGCTGGAGACCAACAATTATTTCTTAATCTTCTGTATGGAATTTAAAATATTCTTCAGAATGTAACATCTGCTTACACTGGTCCAGCGTGAGGAATTTGGCAGTTTACAGGGGTAGTTTCAGCTCTAGTGTTTTGTCAGGTTTTGTTCCTGGTCACCATTTGCAGCTTGAAGCTGTAACTTGCTCCAGTTATTTAAACTCTTTCTTTTGGGGACTGGATCATGAAGCTAAAGAGCAGAGAGCAAGTGAAATGCTGAAGTTCTATGTCTTTTTTTCTCCCCATTTTTACTGCAATAGCCATTTATGCATACTCGTTATTGTGAGATGAACATTTTTAGTAGGATAAAGAAGTATTAGAGGTAATTACAGTAAGTATAATTCATTAATGTATCTGGGAATCAAAGGCATTATTTATTATAGGAAAATGGTTATGAGGATGTCTTATGATATCCTTAGAGTTAAATTTAATAAGGAAATAATTTTATTTCCATTTCATATATTACTTATGTGAATGCCAAGTAATAAGAAAGCCAATTTAGAGAATTACTGTACTGAGGGATGACACCACTGCAGACTTTCCCCTTTTCCCTGTCCCACTCAGCTGCTGCTCCTCAACCAGTCTGATCTCATAGGCAGACTTGACCCTGGAGACTTAATCTACAAAGACCTCCATCATAAGGTCAACGTTGCTTTTCCCTGCTTCTCCTGGGTTTTGGGGCACGTTCCCTTGGATGGCTGTTCCCTCTGCTGAGTGCAGGAGGACCATGAGCACTGCCGTGGCGTTGTGTGTGTGTGTGTGTGGGGGTGCTGCTCATTTCCATTCCCTTGTTTCCAGCTCCTTCTGCTGGGATATGAGAGGTCTTCTGTATCACACCACTCCTCAGGCAGTGGAAGAGGAACAGATGAGTTAAAGCTGCCCCCAAAGAGGGGCTGTGCCAGTCACAGCTAAGCAGGCATGCCCAGTACCTGAAGAATTTGGTATCCATGTTATTCTAGCACTAAAGAATATTGCCTTATAAACAGTGTAACATAGCATTGTCTGATTTTATTTCTTATGGAGTTAGTGGCAAAATCATACTTGTAGGAAGTAGTTTTGAGAGATGATCCAAGCTGTTCTTTAATTGGGTCCCATGAGTTTGTCGTGCATACTTGGGAGTAGATAGTGAGTTATGAGAACATCAGAACTGACTGTGAGAAATTTCCTCCAAAGCCATGGAATAGACTCTTGTCTCTCCCATCCTGCCTGAAGTCCTTAATGCAGCGACAATGCTGGCTTCTGGCACAGATGCTCTGGTAGAATTGAGGAGAAACTGGAGGAGAGCTCAGTGCAGGAATGAAATTCTTTTGGCTTTTATGGAGTCTGACGATTTCATGCCACTGTCTAAAAATTTGTATTTTTAATAAAATACAGAGTTTTCACAGAGGTGAACTCAGGTGTGGTCTCTCTTCTAGAGTAATATATAACTATTTACATGCTTGAAAATTGTCTAGTTTTGAAGTACATGACTGCACCGGCCTTGAGGTTTCTTAGGCTTCAGTAGTTCTGAATGACACAGAATTTATACAGCAGTAGTTCTGAATGTGCACAGAGATGCTGAACTTCAAGAATACTGTTTTAAACATGAAATCCGAGGCCATGCGAAGCCCTAGCTAGTGAGCAGCTATGGCACATCACATACTCAGGAAGGCTTGGCAAGCATTAAAGAGGCCTTTGATGGTTTTACAGGGAAAGATATTTGGCTCAGGCTTGTGCCCAAAAGCACGAAGCTGCTTTTTCATTCTTCTGAGCAAGTGACTGTGCTATTCAATAAGGTGATTTAGGTACTCAGGCCCTGCCTTTTTCATCCTGTGCAAGGAGAGAGACTCTGTTACCAGTATTAACATAGCACAACATTACACATTCAAAAAAGTGCCTCTTCTTGTTTGGGTTTCTGTGACTTACAGGTACTGGGAGAAGCAGCAGAGTAACGAACAATGCTGGGCTGGAGGCTTTGAAGCTGCAGTTGAAGACTGCTGGCAATATTAGTATTTTTTGTGCAGCAGAAACTCCTTCAAAGCTTTCCTTTAAACATGATTGTAGAGTAAACTATACTTAGATAATAATCTCTCCGTGGTAGACATGCTGTTGGAAGGTTTCACCCTTTTAATTGGCTGAGGAGGGTATTAAGTATTCAGTTCTTAACATGCTGTAGAATTTTGTTTGTGTTTCTAAAGATCTGCAGAGTAAAACTGAAATGACAGAACTCAGACAATTAAAAAATTCTTACTCCTTGACAAAGTTATTTAATCATCGAGTTTTACTCCTGTGGCTGGGATTGCATCTTCTGGCTGAATAAGATTGAGAATCTGGTACAGGCATGCCAAAAATAGTTTTACTCTTGGTAGTTTTAACACCCAAAAGCAATGGAGTTAAGGACAGCAGATATTTCTGAGGTGGTCTGTCCTTCAGGGACTCACTCAGGTGACTGCTTCTTGCTGCACTCCACTGTGAGTGATGAATAGATTTTTGAATTTTAACTCTCCAAAATCTCTGCAGTGTGGTACTGAGATTACAGGTTTTACTTTGGAAGAAAAACTGCCCTGTATTTAATTGTTTGCTGTGTTTTGGTTAAACTGCAATAATTTAAGTCAGTATAATGGAGGAATTTCTCCTGAGTGCAACAGTGAGAGGGTCAGAATAGTTGTTTAATGTAAATTGATTTTACACCTATAATGATTCACTTTGTTTCTTGGTTGTCAGCATCTGTGGTTAAGTTTTAAAGGATCTCTCAGAAGTCATGGCAAAGAATGATCATGAATTCCTCACCTCCCTCCTTAAGTCTTGAATGCTGTGATCAAATGTGTTTGCTTTTATGCTTTTGTGTTTTGCTTTTTTTTTTTAAACATTCAAAGTTGGTTTCTTAAGCAATAAAGCTTAAAGCTAGGTTGGATATATATAGATGTTGTTGAAATGGTTTCATGAAACATGCTACTGTTGAAAATGAAAGTTACTGGAATGAATGTTTTATAGAAATGTTTGTGTCTCCCTATTCTGAACATGTTGACGTTTTCTGTTTTTGTAGTGGTGGAAGAAGGACTGTGGGAGAATGGACTTTCCTATGAGTGTAGGACCCTGCTCTTCAAAGCAATTCATAATCTCCTGGAAAGGTAAGAAAAACCCTTCTGCACTCAAATATTTCATTTTGATATTAAAATAATGCAGGATACCTACAGACCATTTATTTTATTATCAATCTTAAGCTGCCATTTTTTAGAGGTAGAAATTTACTGCAAGAGGTGCAGGACACAGATGGATCTCTTAAGTTGTTGACTCTGGTAATGTATTGTAAAATGCTGTGTGGACTAATGAAACACATAGAGAATGATGTTGATATATGTTTCTGCTTATGTTCTTGTGGTAGAGCTGCTTCAGAAGCAAAATGAAAAAATGTTTAACCTTCTTGAGGTGCTTACAGAGAATAATTGTGTCTGACCTCCAGCCCCTTTGATGAGGGTAAATAGGACATATCTTAACAGGTAGCATTCATGCGGAGTATTTGGGGTGAAGTTTAACAGTTCTTGGCTTCTGACAGGCCTGATGTATCCTAGTATTGCTTTCTTTTGTCTTGATCATGTATCTATAGGTATGTATATAGGACTTGCAAAGTTGCTCTGTGAGTACTTAATACACTTATAGCTTTTTTTTCATCTTAATCCAGCTGTCAGCTCTTAAGCTTCCTGAAGATGGTGGTGTTATTAGGCCTTCAGTCTATGACATTGAATCCTGGACTGCTGGATTTCATTCCTTCTCTGTAATGTTCTTCAGGTCATCATCACCTCCCTGTGTTATATTTCATTACTTCTTTTTACAGGTTTGGAGATCTCAGAATTAAGTGTCATTAGGCTATTCCCACTTTTTCTGAATTTATAATAATAACAACAACAAAAAAAACCCATAATGCACCTCTCCCGTACCTTCATGTTACAGTTCTTTTGTAGAATGCAGCATCGAATATTGTTTTCTTTTGGAAAATAAGCTAATTGAAAATACTTTTATCTGGTCTCATTTAGTATCCTGTTTGCTTTGAGGTAGATTTACTAGTAATTATGTTCCTGATACTGTGTTTCCATTAGTGTTCCCTTGGCAGACATTACCTTCCAGCTAGCAAGTGAAGTTTGAAGGGCTACCTGTGTGCACAGGTACAAGGACTAGCTGTATTTCCTATTTTCTTTCTCATCAGTCTTTTTAGGGGATTTTTACTTAAGTTGCAGACTACTTAGAGTGAATAAAAGTATAAAAATGAAATTCCCAGTCTAGAATGTTCATTAGTTCTTTTGTAGCTTTGCAGTATGAAAGGGAAAAATGGTTTTATACGTGTTTATTAATCTGTGGTACCCAGCCAGCTGGCTTTTAAGTATGACTCCTAGTGGATGTTTTTATTTGTTGGACTTTCTTAAGCTTCTGAAGTAAATTTTTAATTATTTTTTTTAAAGAAACTTAATTGAAATTTGTTGGCAGAATAGTGCTGTCCAGCTGTGACTAAAAAGTCTTCAGACCTTTTATTTCAGCAATAGCCTTTGAAACACAGTTGGTCCACACACGTGAGGTGTTTGCTGGGAGCCTCACTTCATGTCACCGTAAGCTTTCTCTGGCTGGTGCCACATCAGCCTCTCGCCCGTGGAGGTGCAGCTCCCACCACTCTCCTCCTGGGGAACTGCTCTTGGGGCTGCCATGATGGCATGCCTTTGGAAACACCCTTGGTTTAGATGTCTTTTAATTAAATAGTTGTCAAGGTGACTTAGAATGATGGTTTATCAAGTACCTATCCAACTTGCTACCTCATTTTTACAGTATCATAGTTGAATTTATTTTAAGTTAGACTCATATAGAGGTTTTTTGTTTGCCATACCAAATCCTAAGTTAACATCGTAATTATTTCATTTGAAATCATAGAATACCAGGTTGGAAGGGACCTCAAGGATCATCTGGGCCAGCCTTTCATGGGAAGAGCACAGTATAGACGATATGGCCCAGTAGCCTGTCCAGCTGGATCTTAAAAGTGTCCAGTGTTGGGGACTCCACCACTTCCCTGGGGAGATTATTCCAGTGCCTGATTGTTCGCATTGTGAAAAATTTTCCTCCTTTGTCTAATTGGAATCTCCTCCGGAATAACTTGTACCCATCACCCTTCATCTTTTCTGTGTGACCCCTTGTAAAAACGGAATCTCCATCTTCTTTGTAGCACCTCTTTAAACACTGGAACATGGTGATAAGATCTCCCCTAAGTCGTCTTCTCTGCAGGATGAACAAACTCAGTAGTCTCAGCCTTTCTTTATACAGCTGCTTCCCAGACCTTTGATCATCTTTGTGGCCCTTCTCTGGACCTTCTCCAGCCTGTCCACATCTTTTTTATACAGTGGGGACCAAAACTACACACAGTATTCCAGGGGTGGCCTGACCAGCCCTGAGCAGAGTGGGAAATAATAGCAGGAAGTGTGTAGGCTTTATCAAAAAGAGAAATAACACTTTGATTTTTGAAGAGCTGCTTTATCCCGTGTTTAGGAAAAGCTTGATTAATTAAAAAGTTGTGAATTTCTTTTTCATCTTATCAGAAAGTGACAGGGCTGTTGCTTGTCCCTGAAGTTTTGTGGGGTGTTTTTGGTTTATTCTGCAGTTAGTGAAGGACAGATTCTCTTCTCAGAACCTTCCTGTGTCCTTCCAAGGTGTCGCTCTCTTAGCAGAGCAGTTGGGTCTTTTTGACCAGCCTCAGCTCTGGGTGATTCAGGTCATATGGGGAGCACTGGCCCTGTGGGCTGGGAGGAAGAGGCCACCAGCTGCCCCATGCCACCCAAACCTGTTGCGGCCTGGTGTCACCCAGAACGTCTCCCCACAGCCACATTCAGGCAGGAGAGCAGCTGCTGGACAAGAGGCATGAAGAGCTGTTATGGTGGGAAAACCTGGTGGTGGAATCACTGTGGTGTCAGTGACCCCTGTGTCCTCTTCCAGCCATCACCTCAGGAGGAGCTGGGAAGGACCCAGTGAAACCTCCAGTGAAAATATGGTCACAGAATTGTTTCGGTGGGAAGAGACCTTTAAGATTATGAAGTGCAACCATCCCCCAGCACTGCCAGGTCCCCACTGCCCCATATCCCTCAGCACCACACCTCCACGGCTTGGAAACTCTTTCAAGGGTGTGGACTCCACTACTGCCCTGGGCAGCCTGGCACGGCCCTGGACAACCCTCAAGAGGAAGAAATTGTTCCTCAGGGCCAACCTCAACCTCCCCTGGGGCAACTTGAGGCCATTTCTTGTTGTCCTATTGCTTGTTCCTTAGGAGAAGAGACTGACCCATCACCTTGCTCCAACCTCCTGTCAGGGAGTTGTAAAATATGGGAAGCTGTGACTAGGAAGAAGGGAGGAGAGATGTTTGTTTTAAGTTAACCCTGAGAAGGGCAAGAAAGGGTATTCACACAACTGTTTGGGATTTTTTTTCCCCTCAGTACCCTCAAAGGTGATCAGAAGATTATGTTAATTAGCAATTTAGAAAAGAGTAGAAGATCTGAGTAAATAACACTCAAAATATTATGGTATTCTTTCATAATCATTAGCGTGCCTTTGACAGGTCATTCTTTTTAATAGAAAAATCAGAAATACGAGAGGTCAAGTGACAGTGAACCAACAGCTGTACTGCTTGGGAGAGAAATATCACTCGGCCTTAACTAGAGAAATGAGCCAAGGATATTTTGTGCTCTTACTTCATATGATTAAATAACTGCTTTTAAGTGTATACTCAGTTGGGATTTTGTAACCAGATATTTACTTGAATGCAGGTTCTTTAAGGACGAGTTACCATTGAGTTCTTCCACAGCAAAGATAACGTTGTGCTGTCGTTAACTGCTCACTTGGCCGCCTCCTGGAGATCCACACTTCTGCAGTCGTGTGCCCCATTTCACAGGGGATTAGACCTGAAATAACCCCTGATTTAGTTGGGCACAGGAGAGTTGGCTGGTTTTGAAGGCCAAGCCTTCTCATGAAGACGTATTTCCTGGGAAAGCAGCAGTAGATTGAGGCAGTTAAACCTGCCATCGTGAGGCGCGATGGCGTGGCCTTGAAGCCTGTGTGTGACGGGGAGAGTTTATCATAGTTTTTGCTAGTACAGATTATTTTCTTTAGGGATCTGATGTAAACTTCACAGACTTCCTTTTGTTTGTATAAAGTACACTGACACTGACGGACTTTCTGTGATAGCAAATATTTCCTAGGGAAACAGTTGCTGAAGCATAGGGTTGTTTTCCCGCCAGCAGAAGTTTTTAGTCTTTAGATCTCTGCTGGTGTAGCTTTTATATTCAGTTTAAGATATTGGTATATTCAACTGAGTTGGATTCTCTTTTTGCTTTAATTGGGGAAGTGCAGTTAGCATTTTCTTCAGCCTGGCTTTAACTTTGGAAAACCCTGCTGAGTTTATACAGAAGAATTAGGAGCATATTAGTGTCTACATTGTCAGTTCTTCGGTTCCTATTTAGGACTTCTGGTGTGCTTTTGGAGTACAGATCACACAGTTTTTCTAAAACTTGCAGTATGTATGCTTTCCCAGAAGGTTTCTCTCTCTTGTTTTGTTTTGTTTTTATCGTTTTTGTTTTGTTTTGGCTCATCTCTAGCAACTGCTATAAAAATAAACTGTTGGGAAACTTTGAAGAATGGAGAATTGTACTTCCGTCTAAATGAAGAAATACTGATTAGAAATGAGATGTATAGGGGAAGCTCATGTATTGCTCATAATTGTAAATAAATAGACCATTTTCCAGCGTTTTTGAAAAATATTTACCTTGCTAACAAATACTCCATCATAACAAATTTCTGTCTGTGATCCCTTTGGGCAATGTGTTCGACTGCATGTTTAATGTATGAAGCATACTTAAATAGTGTTGGCATATTGCTGCTGTGATTCATCCGTTCAGGTGGAGTTAGGAAGGCATCAAGCTCTCCTTAACTTGTCAACCTCAATCGATTATTGAACGCTTTGCATCCTCACTGTTGGTGTGGGTTTGATTTATTTTTTTTTTTTTTAAAAGCCACAGAATATACAGTTTCTCTAAAGAATTTGTGTGATTTTAAAGGGACCACAGAAAACGGGTAACTTACTGCTCTAAGTTTAATGACGTGGGAGTATGTTTGTTGGAACGAGGTTTTCTGAGAGAGGAAACAGTAATTATGGAAGTTTCAACACTTGAAGTCGTTCTGTGGATCACATGAAGGAAAAAAGGTTCATTGTTAATATTTGTTTAATACAATTTCCTGTCATTCATATACTGTACTATGCCATTTATGTGCCAAAAATACAGGAGCAGGTATTCTTCATCATGAATTCTGAGATAAACACTGTATAGAAAAGAATCAGTGCTGTGAATTGTCTTTGTTCGAGAAGAGGAGTTTGAAAAATGGGATGATGGATCATTCAGCACAGAGTAGCATGGAGTGGAAAAGGTTCTGACAGAGAGGAAAGTGCATATGTGAAGCTCAGCATCAGTGACAGCATCATGAGACCGGACAGGGACTCTCTGGCTAGTGTGGGAAAATGGGAAGCAGCAAAGTTCCATGGAACTCAAAAGCTACAAAGTTGATTTCAATATGATGGAAATGCAGCTGCTTAATCCCTTAAATTTACTGTCTTCAAAGACTGCTTTTAATTGCATCTTAAGATGTGACTAGTAATTGTTGCTGTAATTATTTTCTAGGTGCTTGATGGATAAAAACTTTGTAAGAATTGGAAAATGGTTCATAAGACCCTATGACAAGGATGAAAAGCCTGTTAATAAAAGGTAAGACAGTCTTTGTATCAAGTACTGTTCCTGGCAGTGTTAGATATTCCATGATGGGAATTTGATTCTGCATTTTGGTGGTAGTTTTTCCACTTTTACCATGTAAAAAGTAAAAAAACACAGAACACTGTTCATGTCAGTAATACATAGAAGGCAATTAAGTAGTTTTTCATGTCTTGCTGTAATAATACAAGATAAGAAGGTAAGGTTGGTATTTATTCCTTAACTTCACAGAAATACCATGATTTTTTTCTATCTTTTCAATAGCACCTAGCTGTTTCTCTCATTATACAAAAGAATTCCAGGTAGTTATATCAAATTATTTGAATTTCTGGGCACTTAACCCCAACCCAACATTTCAAGGAGTAAAATAAGTAGTATATAGACCTATTTATTTGCTTTAAAGATGTCAGCCTTGATGTACAGCTTTCACTGATCAGGCAGGCTGGCAAATCAGAGCTGTGTGTCTGATTAATGCCCTTCTCTTGCAGCAGCACAGCCATGGCAAAGGGCTGGCTGCCTCCACTTGCTCATTGCTGTTTCCTCCCCTAGCTCGAAAGGTTACAGTGTTCTCAGATCTTCTGGTACTTGCATTTATAGTCATCCGCTAAACAAGTTCTGTCAAAAATAATCTGAGTTAAGCTGAAACACAGATTTTCTAATGGGAATCATTTTGACAGAACTGGGTTAGGAAGTGACTAAACATGCAGTTATGCTGGAGGATTTGAAGGTAATGAGCAAGTGGAGATGAAGTGGGGTGGCAGCTTCTTCATCCAGCGTAGCTACAGTCACCACAGCGTGGCTGATGGCAGCTGTGGCTGCAGGTGGAAATCACTCTGTAGCTTCTCCCCTCATCTCTGTCTCTCTGGGTTGTGGTACAACAGGAAGGTGTTACCTCTGTTGCAGTGTAGTGCTAGGGATGGTTGACTTTGTTCTGTAACAGACTTTGTGTGAACCAGGTACTTCCAAAGAGCAGTTGTTTTTTAGGAGTAGGTTGCAGGAATTAAACATGGACACGTCTCTTTTCTGAAAGCAGAAAGCATTAACTTAGCAGGGGGATATCCCTACTTTTGCTATTTACTCTTTGCAACTCAGTAGGCTTGTATTGTGCACATGTAACCTTTGATTTCACATTGATCTGATGGCAAGAAGCCTCTGAAAAGTCCTTTTTTTTCCCCATACCTTTCTCTCTCTTGGCTGTACCTAACGACCTTCTTCCCCTGTGTTTTCTCTGCTGCTTTCCTGATCACACCAAGGTACACTTCAGTTTTCTAGAAGATGAATTCCCCAGAGTGACATAAGTAGTGGAGTCTTTTCCAGCTTCTGCAAAAGGGAGATGGCTCCCTTCAGCAAAAGCTATTTGTTTTAGCCACTTTACTGCAGCCTTAGTTCTCTGATTAAATATATTTGTGAATCTCATGTCTGTTCCTGGTGGGTATCAATTTAAGAACTGAAGCATCTGATACAGTAGGCAGTGTCTGCCAAAAGCAGCAGCAGCTCTGGCATGGAAGGTGCCGTTACTATAGAATTCTGGCAGATTAGTAGGTCCTGTGTCTCTTTTCTCTGTGTGTAACATGGAATCACTCGTGCAGCGAGGTGATGTGCAGAGGATAATTACATTGGTAAATACAGGTACAGTAGGCATGTAAATACACCTGGTCTGGAACATGAAACCAAAAATGAGTTCATGTTGAACTTAAATTGTATTTGTAGCATTCTTGTATATAAACCTGATATTTTTATAGAGAATTTTAGGTTTGATGGGTAGATTCTTCATTTGAAGAATTAAGAATTGTGGGTTGTTGATATTTTTTTTTTTTTTTTTTTTTTATAAAGTACTTGTCACTATAGATCCTTTGGCTATGCACCGTTTTAAAAGCACTTGCTTAGCAATAACAGCTATAGCCTAATTTGAAGATAGGTTTGCTTTTGTTTCAGATTGTCAATTATTCTGCTGTAAATAAATAATTGGAGTTATCTCACTAATAGGTGGTAGTAAAGATTGCAAGAGTTGAGGGTAGAGTCAACTGTGAATGATACAGCAGCAAGTAGTACCAGGCTTTGGGGACTAATTGCCCAGACATTTTTTATGTAATCTTCTAAGCTTTCTGTCCCAGTATAGCACAAAAAGCTATCTTTACCCAAATTAAGTGATTCACATTAATTCCATATAAATTCTTTTTTAAACTCTTGCTCTAAGCAGCCTCTTGCTGTAGATCAAGCAATGAAATACTAGAAGTAAGTTGCTGGTGTGTACAGTGATGTGGTTGATGTCTGGCAGTGAGTAATCCCAGTTGAAAATGCATGCCCTGTTCTCCTGGGATGGGGAAGGAGAGAGAGATCTGTAGAGATACAGACCCCCCTTGAATGGAGAAAAACTGAGCAGGTGTCATTGTGGCAAAGAAATAGAAATGTTCCAAAGTCTGCTGTTGTACTTCTACTTGTGGCAAAGTTACTCCTCTCAGATTTCCAGCATCCCAGATACTAACTGCATTTTAGGAGTAAACTGAAAATACTTAGGTTGAGTATAAATAAGCAGGGAAGGAGTTAAAAGTCCCACGGGTGATTTTTCAAGGAGTAAATTCCTGCAGGACAGGGTTTTTTGCATGTGTTTTTTTGGGTTTTGTGAATGGGGTTGAGGGAGAAGCGCGGGGAGGTCGGTGGGTTTAGAATGCAGTCACAGATGAAGTGGAGCATGGCAGTGGCCGTGACCTGGTTAGTCCTGAGGTGTGGAAAGGAGGCCTAAGAACAGTAGGTGACCTGCCAAGAGGCAGTGTTAGACACAACGTGCAAGGTGAGCTTTTCTGGCCTTTCCAGGAGGACTGAGGGAGCTCCTCCTCTGGAGGAATAACTCCAGAGGGAGTTCCAAATGAATCCATACTCAGAGGTGTTTTGCTTCAGTGTGAAACAGGTGCATTTGACAGGACACGTGGTGCAGAACTTGGGGGTTTTCTTTCTCAAGCATCTTTAATATTCTGTGTCACTTAGTAAATAATTCTTCGTAGTTCATTGTCTGCTCTACAGAAGTGTGTGCCTAAATTCCATTTCCACACTCTTGCTGAAAAATGGCAAACATGCTTATTTATCCACACAGCTTCCTACAGGAGATCCGTGTGTTTGGAGTTTACAGAACTGATCTGATACAAGACATCACAAGTGCCTTCCACTGCGTGGTGAAAATTCACCTTCACACTCTATTCAGAATGGCTTTCCAAGTTCTATACAGGGCTTTTGGGTTTTGGAGAGCACCACTATAAAATGTTCAACATCTTACTGACAAAATAAAACTTAGAACCATGCTATCTTTGCTAAGTATTTTAGTGATTGTCTTCTTGGTGTGTGCTAGGAAACTGGGGGGAAAAATCACTTTGGTTTGAACTCCATAAGCAGCTTAAATGTAAATATGTGAAAAAAAAAAATGTTACTTTTTATAGCCTGAATAACAGATGGGTCATCCCCTCTTCCAAAATTCTGTTAGGTTTTTTTAGGCATTAATTTGGGCCATCAAAATTTGAAGGCTGTAGATACTTTAAGCACTGCTTCCTTTTCAAAATCCTGGAAAATATCATTGCCTTCAGTTTCCTGGGAGTAGCCACAGGACTATCTAGATTGGTGATACCAAAGTTGACATTCAGCATTATTGCAAGCTGCATTCACATTCTGCCATGCTAGGAACTCCTGTCAGTCAGTATTTTTGTCTGAAACCATCAGATAGAATAAGCCCTAGAGAAGGACTGTGGTGCTGTGCCAGGAGGAACTGGAAACCAGTGGAACTGGTGCCTACGTGAGGTTGGAACCCCTTGTCTGAATCTGATATGGAGGTTTGCTCCTGGCACATGGCACCACACAGATAATGTGTTTTGGCAAATGGTGTTAAGGTGTTTCAGTAAATCGTGACATAATTCTGCAAAAGCCTGGTAAAACAAGTTTAAGTGTTCTAATTAATTTTTTAAGAAGACTTGGATTCCTCAGCTGAGAGGTAGCTGATTGATTACACACGTATAGTTTGCAGCAAAGCAGTGAGAATGTCTCCTTTTCAGCTTGGAGGTTTTTACTGAATTGGAGCAAAATAAGCCATATACACGAGTTGAATTCTCCAGGTTTGTGTACTTGTATTTTTAGCAATGTTTTAAAAAATTCAGTAATGTTATGTTCATCTTTTCTGAATTTCTTCACAGTCTTACTTAGTTTCAGTAAAATAATACACCAAGCAAATAAGTGTTTTCACATGCATTTTTCAACAAAAACTGGTATCATGCATTTCAGTATGCTTATGTTTATAAATGCTTTAAAGTAACATCACTATTTTCAAGTATATTAATCTAATACATTAATAAATCTAATGTATTTTTATGTTTTATAGACAGAAGACCGTGAAACACTATTAACAATTTGGGTTAGTTATGGGTGCTATTAAGATGGTTTGGGAAAATGCTCTTCAAACACTACCAGTTTAATTACTGTTATCTGTTGTGGATAGATGCTGTTGGTAGTCGTGGGTTATTTTGTGTTATATTCCAAGAATCTTCTGTGTAAAATTCTTGACTGAAAATATTAGCACAGTGTACAGGAAAAAAGCAGCAGAGCAACCCTGGGGACCAATTCAACAGATTCCTTTACCTCTGCCCATCAAGATGAAGTCCTGGGAACAATAAGACGACTCCCTAGGTGGGGTCATTGGTGAGATGTCACTGGGGCAGTGCTTGTAGTGTGCTGCTTGTACCCCTTTCAGCTGACCCAAGAGTGCCTTACCCAGCTGTCTGCATGGAGCTGGGCCACACAACTAAGGTAAAACACGACGAATCTGGATAGCTGTACCACTGCTCCTCCAGCCCTGCGATATTCAGCCTTGTGATGACAGACAGGGGTTTGAAATTCCTTCTCTGCCTTCATAACGGGGGTGACCTCTTCGCATGGGTGCAGCCTCCCCTCAGCAGGGGACTGCTGCTCCTGCAAGGCGTTGTGGTGTTTGCTGGGTGTGTTTTGAGGGACCCCTGTGT